AGAGAGAGAGAGAAGGGGGTAAAACGAGTTTGTGGTTAAAGAAAATTAACGATTCCCCGATTGAGTTGTCGATTGATCGCAAAAAAAAGACGTCATCGAGTTCAACGGCAGGTTACGGCGCCGAGGCGCATCATTTTGGCTCGATGGAATGATCGATATCGACAACTATCGTCGCGAGTGTTGCTGTTGTTATTGTTGCTCGACAATCGAGCCGGCTCGATGCGCCGCTGAAGGACACGCGACCGGCAAAGTAGCGAGAGGTGATCGACAAGTGCGACCGCGCTAAAGTCGCAGTCACGTGGCTCGTGATGATGTAAGGTGACCTAAGTGAACGGTGCTGTGGAGACGAAATGACGCGCGACAAGAGGCTGCTGCTGCTGCTAGGTCTGCTGATGGCTTACGGCCTCTTCGTGGTCGAATGCCGGTACCATCAGCGAGAGGACGCGACGACGACCGAGACGAGACATCGACACAGGCACAGACATGAGTCCTCGAATCGAAGGGGTCATCACGAGCTCGATAGGAGACCCTGGCAGGAGGTGGACTACGAGTACAATGGAGACTCCGAGGAGCCGATCGATGAGGATGATTACGAAGCGCGATCGTATTACGATCATCCCAGATCGCATCATCGATCCGCGCAGAGGAGTTATCACAGTCGGATGGTCGAGCCGCGCTATCCGCCTAGGTATCACGATGGATATTACACCGGCTGGTATGACGAGAACGACAGGCGCAGAATTCCATCGCGATACAACGCAAAGAATTATCGATACGGACGTGGCAGGACTCATCATAAATCTGCGTTTTCACGCAATCGCGACATGGATTTCGACGACTATACGGAGGAAGATTATGAACGGTCGCATATGTATGGAAATGGCCGGGTCGATAAACACCACGAGTGGTGGAGAAACGCCAGGCGATACGCTTTCGGGAGAGACTGGAGAAACAGGATGAACGAAGGTGCGAGAAGGCATCGCCCGGAAGATCGAGAAAGCGTCATCGATCGTAGCGACGGCATGAGGTGGACGAACGACTGGAAGAAAAAATCCAACTCATCGGAGTCGAAATATCATCTCCCGAAAGACGATTGGAAGATAGAGGAGGACGAGGATTACGAGGATCACGGCGGACTTGAAGAGGATGATAAAGATGAGGACGAGAACAATTTCTGGAAGGAGACCGATGTCAAGGGAAACGAGAACAGTGAGGACAACGAGGAGGAAGAGCTCGACAACGATTTCTACAAGAACGAGACAAAACCACCCTTACAAACATACGATGACATCATCAGAAGACTCACGTCTGACGATCCGACCACTCCGAAGAGCACCGTCAAGAGGAATTACCGGAACATTGAGAATAAGCACACAAAGCGCGATGATTATAAAAATCTTAAATACGAACCGAGGAATATTTCTAAACCGCTGGATCACTTCACAAGCGCTGCTAATAATAATACATCTAACAATACATCTAATTATTTCGCAAATAAACGAACCGTGCAGACATCGATCGACAAATCCGTTGGGCACAAATCCCCAAAGAACACAGTCAGTGGTACGGTCAAGGGTCACGATCGTCTGGATCGAAAGACAGTTGACACTAAGACTAAAAGTCTGGAGCAGGATTACGACGAATATCTGAACAGCCCGGACAACGAGAAGGAAGATGATCTCGTCAAAGCTGGGGTCGAGGACGACTCAGGCATGCAGGCGGACGTCACTAATACGGTGAGTAACGATCAATGCGAAAAAAATTATTTTCTTAAGTTTCTCAACGCTCGAAGTGGGAAAAATTATAGAATTTATTAAATAATAGATTATTAAATAATAGATTCGCTAATTGCAATGTAACAAAAATTGCGCAACTGTGACAGTAATAAGAAATCATGCCGATACAACGCGCAGAAGCAAGCTATGCTGACTTTTAAAACCCGAGGTATTACAATGTTCAAAGTAATATTTCCAAGTTACTGTAATTGACTGTCATCCCCCCCCCGTCATTATTTTAACTCGATAAGAATTAAAACGATTAAAAAAATCGCGTTTGTTTTAAGACAAACAAATTGTAGAAAATTATTATATTTCGATCGAATATCGTTGCGTCACGAGGCCGATATAAAGACAGATCAACTTCGAGTCGCGAATGCAATCCGGTTTCGAAGAAAATCACGAGACGAAGGAGGGCTTTTGAGTATGGACCCAATTTCGTCGCGAAAGCTGAAAGTCGTAAAATCAGTTATAAACTCCGAGTTCTCGTCGGATCGACATTAGGTAGAGATTAAAATTGAGTCAAGAGGACTCGGCGAACTCACGTACGTTCGCACACATGAGCCATCCCATCTATCAATGCTTTTTCTCCCTCGCGAAAACGCGTTCCGTTTGCGTGGAACATCCGAGGAGGAACACGTAACGCGAAAGACCGTCCTGTAACTGTACCCGGGGATCTATCGCAGATCTCTTTCTTGGCGATCTCGGTGATCGATAGTAATTTCCCGCATCTTTCCGGATGCGGTAATCTCGATCGTAATTCTCGTCGAACGCGAGGTCGGGATATTTATTGATCATCGCTAATTTACGATGCTATCATTACGACGATTACGGGAGATCTTCATTACATTATGATTTGCGTTCTCATTCAGTTGATTCGAAGTGGACAGTCCCGAGTTCCGTACCTCCTGCCAGTAATTTGTTCCTAATAAAATGGAGCGTATCCGAAGAGTGTCGCACTAAAAATAACAAACTGCGATAAACCGTGATTTACTATGACGACGAAGGTAACGAAGTGATTTATTTTTGACAGGTTATTCGTATCGCTTCGCTCGTGTTTACCATTAAAATTAGTTTTGTCAACGCTGGGTTTCATAATCGGCATATCTCGTGCGGGCAAACCGAAGATTGTGAATCGATCGCTTTGTCTGACTGTTGACAGAGCGTAACAAGATCAATGGGATAACGGATTAGATTTGATCGTCATTCACGTAATTCACGCGGGCCACATCATGGCTGGAGATTCGCGCTGCCTCGTTCCGCACTGCCGAACTCGAGATTAACTTTCACGAGAGGCACCGACGCTGAAGATAGCACCGAGCTGCCTTGAAACATCACTTCGAATCTTGACAACCGTCATATCGCACGAAGCGACGTAAGACACCTGTCCTGCTGTAGCTGTAACACTGCCAGTTTCATCAAAAACCATTTTGCTATATGGATGACGTTTATCTTATAATACATCAATGTCTTGTATTCACATCTTTGCCCATTAATTATTCGTATTTCGTATAAATATAAAATTACAATTGCCAGCGATAATATTCGCTGTAATTTATAAAATATAAACGTTCTGTAATGCATAACGTCCAACGATCTCCGTAATAAGTAAAGTGTTATGTTTATTTGTCAATTACATATCGACTTTTTATTTATGTAAAATTTAAAGTCATAGAACAGATTAATGAGCCATTCCGTGAATTGGAATCACTGACCACATTGTTGAATTATTCTCAAACTCAACGTTGCCAAACTCACTTTGCGGCTCTTCAAGAATGTCTAAGTACTCTGAGAACTTCTGGGAATCGTTTCGAACGTTGCATTCTAACGTGGATATTCAACGTTTATTAATGACCGGCGTATCTGCGTGCGTCGCGACGTCGGTGATTCCCCTCACTTATACAGAGCCAAGATTAGATTGGCCTTGGCAATGTGAACAGGCCGCGTGCGACAAAACTTCTCATCTCATTCGCGTCAAAACTTCTCGAACTGACGTTCGTAAGATTGACCTCGGAAATCGCCGACCGCAAGGCGCCATCGCCTGCCAGACTTCAGTACGATTTATCGTCAACGGAAAGTGGATGTGCAAAAGTGGATGTGTCACGTTCGCGAAAATTCAAAACTAAGACAATATTCCGAAAAAATTTTTCTCATATTTCGGGATTCTTTTATGATTCTTCCGAAACATTACCTTCTTTTTCCATTCTCGATAAATTTTTCTCCGGGCTTTGCACATTCATTTCGGCAGAACACCGATACAATCATATCATCGACAAATTTATTTACGGAGCACGAAAATATCAGAGAAAAAAACATTTCCAGATAATTTCGCCGAAGCGATAAATCGCTTAAGTGCCGCATCGATACACAACGAAGAAATATTGGCACGAGCGATTTTACGAATACACTACGCTACATATCTCGAAAAAACGAAAACATACGTAGAATTAACACGGGCGAAGCGAGAAAGAATTGATTCGTTTCTTCGGAAGACAACAAATTTCGATAACGAGCTCATCGCTCCGAGCCTTACATACCCTGACGTCAAACAGGAACGCTGCGTGCACCTTAATTTCGCGGTAGCTCGCAGCAACGGCGACTCCGGTCGGCAAAACGACCGACGGCACGTCCACGGCGGCTGTCGTCGCGATCGTGCTTTGCGTCCTTTTTTGCGTCAATTTACAAAGGTAAACCCGCCACGTACCATCGACAATTTACCTCTGCGTGTCGGCCGGAGTGGAATTACCGCGTCGGGGTAATTGAGCAATTCCACCATATGCAGTTGTCCATCCGTGGTTTTCCGCCGTAAATTCACCGGGCACCGATGCCGAACGATCAAAGGGAACCCACCACCGCCGCTACCATCGACCGATCGACCGGATCTTTCGAATGCTCTCAGATTAAACGATCGCGAATTTTGCTTCACCGCGACGCAGAGGGGAAACGATATACACGCGCCGGTAGACCTTGCATATTTTGTCGACGGTTAATCCGGCGGCCTATATACAACGAGGGAACATTCAATTAACCGTTGTGCACGGTAAAATTAAATTAGACGCGAATAATTCAACTTGCTTGGCACACAGAAAGAACCGCAATTTTCCCGTGTACTTTTATCCACCGGTTCCGGATTACTGCGTATCTTCAAAAGCCGCACAACTCGCGATTTGTGCGAAACTGACTGGCGTTTAATTCCATTACGTTCGCGAAAGATAAATGATTCGAGGCAAAGTTTACATGTAATATGCATCTACAAACGCCAAGAAAGGATGGTGATATATTCAATCAAGGATGTTTCAGTAATAAGAAACAAAAATAAAGAGAGATGTTATACGCGTATTATTGACATCGTTTCACGTCTAAATATTTCTATTGCGAAATATTAACTATTTGAAATTCAAAACATCTTTGAAACGTACTATTATTATTTTTTGCAACTAGCAGGAATACATCTTAGTTTAGATCTTAGTCGTCGATATAGTAATTTCATTATCGTTCAACATGTTTATTTAAATGACACTGGGTTAATCCGTAATTGACCTACCTTCCGGCGAAAACATCTCGTGTAATGCAAAAATGTTTTCTCTCCAGATGCTAATATGGAAATAAGTGCACGTTAATTAACTTATTTTGCTCGTTTCTTTGAGATCTCGCTGAAGCTCCAGGAAAATAACGTTCAAGGGTTCTTTATCAAAACCGGGAAGACCCATAAAGTTGCGCGGAATTTTACGATTATCGTCGTACCGTACGCTGCCTGGGGAGAAATGATAAATGCACGAAGTTAAAGTTCGTCCGGACGAATCGCAAATATGTCATTCTCCGAATTCTTGAATTCAATGCATCTACGATATATGCATTATCAAACGAATTTTCTGTTTGCCATGCAACACATGCATGCCATGCACATGTTTTACGTCTGTGACTGCGTATTTCGCGGAAAATAGATTCTCCCTAATATAGAAGATATTCAAAACATCTCGATACACAGCTGTCCAAAAGATAAATTTTAATTTACATATTTAAAGTTTTATAAATCTATATTAATACGCTGGTGTACGTGAATAATACAAGAGAGACAATTACGTTTTCAATGATAATAGACTAGACGCCGGCGTGCTTTCTCGTCTAAGCGATACGTGAGTCATTCTCGCATTTTACCTCGGTGCAAACTGCATCCGGAGAGCTTTGTGTATAGCAGCCTCTCAATTCTGGGGGAGATGCGATACGCGTTTCAAGAACCTTCCTCCCTCGGTCGATAGACTTCGCGGAAGCGAAGCTCTTTCGGTGTTCTCTTTTTCGATCCATTCGCTTCTTGCACGCTTCCATCCGCGAGTCTTCGTCTCGATTTCACGCGGCCGCGTGCCTGCGCTCTCTCTCT